CCCTCTTCTGTTTTATCTTGGAATTCTTTATACGAAAATTTTCGTAACTTAAATTCTATTTCTCTGTTCAAAAAGAAAGTTCATCAGGTTTTTTACCCCCGGGAATATAACAAAATTTATACCCTATCTCTTACTCGTTACGCTTCGGTGTTACATACTCGGTTGCGTTTAGGTTATTGCTCTTTGAATTCGTATTTGTTCAAAATCAATCGTAGCATGAGCCAGGATTGTGTATGTCAACAGGGTGTAAAAGAGTCCGAGATTTTCTTCTGTTTTGCCCCCGATACTGTGCTCAATGATGTTTTCCATAGCGCGCGTAATAATGTTGTCCGGAAATGCCTCGTTTTCGAATCTGAGCACGCGATACTTTTGACAGCACTCGCGGAAAAAATCTATTGCATCGAATGTGATCTAGCATATCAACCAGACGGGTTTTTTATCACTTTTTCCTGGCTAAAAGTAATGGCTTACAGATTTTCTTTAATATTTACAGATTACAGTCTGATAACTTACATGTGATCAAAGGAGCTCTTGATGCCAAGATATCGACAGTCACGTGCAAAGTAATCCCACTTGTCGACGTCAATACCGTTGATCTTGTTAGCGACAATCTTCAATAGTCAAGGTCGGTGGGCAAATAATAATAGTTAGGTATTAGAAGCCATTAATTGGGTATTAAAAGTTGATAATTAGTTATAAATTAGAAGTTAATAATAAGTATTAAAAGGTATTAATTAGGTATTAGAAGTTAATAATAAGGCATTAGTAGTTAATAGTTTGGTATTAGAAGTTTCAGCGCGCTTTTCATATTCCTTCAGCCCAAAGTTAAAGATTCTAACTTAATTTAGAAGCTGCTGAGCACGGAGAAAATGATAACGGCTCTAACCATAACATGGTCATTAAGGACGTACGACGTTCATGGGCAAACGATCCCATCTTCAGATTTTTTTGTATGCTAGAAATAAAATGAGCAAATTGAAAAAGGGGTTTCACTGACTTTACATTACACGGACGTTTGCCCTCAGTTTTGCGATAAAAACGAGCGAACCGCTACGCAAACATCAAAACAGTGGGGGAAAAAAGCCATATTATTGTATTGTATTTTCACATAACTCTAGAAAATGACCCAATAATTGTCTAGCATTTAGGCCCCGTCCACACGTATCCGGAAATTAGTGTATCCGTATCCGGAAATTTTCGAAAACGGTCTCCAGAGTGGAAATTTTCGAATACGCTCCGAATACGAATACGTGTGGACGGTCGTATCCGCAAATTTTCGAATACGCTAACGTAAACCCGATTTTGCGCATGCTTAATAAGAAAAACTATCCGTCAAAGGGACTAGGCACTAGCGTGCATCAGGGCGGATCAAGAAATTTCCGGATACGTGTGGACAGCGAAAACGATTCGAATACGCTGCGTGTGGACGCGAACATACAAAAATTTGCGGATACGTGTGGACGGGGTCTTAAACTTTACGATTAGAAATATGAAATGTTATTTGGCAACAAGTGTGGACTTCGCGTGAAATTCTATTCCAACTATGAACAAAATATGTGATTTTAATTTGATGCCATATATTTCCTTTAAAGTTAGGTATTATGGATTACAGCCTACGTGCCACACAGGCATAAATGATAATGATGGTTATAAAGTACTTTAAAAACACGGGGGGGGGGATGGGGATCACCGATTTCAGTTTGTTTCAGAGCTATGAGAGTTCGAAGAAGTAAGAAACTTCACTCTTGAAATTTTGTTCATCAAAACATTGGAATGACGTCAACATGCACAATGAGCGCACGCACACTAAACACATGCGTAGAAAGGATGCGCGGGTGCAATGACCATGAACATCCTTCATACCTCAAAAAGAAAACGCGGTTTATTCTTTTCTCTTCCGACTTCCTTCCATTCCTAAAACAAAAGAAAACAGCAGACGTCGATATCAGTTGATTTAACTATACCTTTATTTGAGAGTGGCACCCAGTGAAAACTGACCAATTTGGTGCAGCTTAACTCAAACTAAACTGAAATACAATAAATAGCACTGAGACACAGCAGCCAACAATAGGAACAGTACTTTGTTTTTGGGTTTTAATCGTGCCTTGTAAACTTTACACCCAACATCAACTTTCCCGGGCACGCACAGGCCCTCACAAGTATTTCTCCATGTTATCAAACAGTCTTGTTATGATGCACTCGTTCCCAAGTTCAGCGTTTCAACCCCCACCCCTCCCCTCAAGAAATCAAACCCTTGCTCTCCCGATCATTTTCTCCTCCTTTGTAATGTCAACAAGGCTTAAAATGTATTATTCAGCGATAGGGTTTTTTCGAACACCTTTCCGTCGGTCAAGGTTATACTGATGCTTTAATAATAATAATAATAAAAAAAATAATAATAATAATAGTAATAATAATAATGGAAAATAAACCAACTGAAGGACATAGACCGACGCACAAGAGAGATAGTCAGAAAAGAAGGAGGAATGCACCATCACGAATCCATCAAACTACTCTACCTACCAGAAGAACTAGGAGGAAGCGGTATGAAAAGCGTCGAGGACACTTTCAAATTAACAACAATCAAAATGGCAAACTATATCAACAACAGCAAAGACAAGAGGATCAAGCATGCAAGAACGCTTGAAATGAATAGAATCGCGCAAGGTAGAAGGTCAATTTTCAAACAGGCCACCAAGTACGCAGCAGAATATAACATCACGTGCGACTTTGATGATACAGGCACTAAAATACCTACAAGTAAAGACCATACACCTGCCAACGAGATCAAAACGATAACCTCACCTTCACCAAAATCAATAAAAGAGCTGCTGCGATCAAAGATCACGGAGAAGTATATAAAAGAAACAAAACAGCAGACATGGCTTGGAGCCTACACCAACCAACAACTCCAAGACAAACAGATTTCACCAACAGCCAACCAGATCCTGAAGAAGTGGAATTCCCGATATTGTCTACAGCGTAAACAAGAACATACGCCAACAACTACTACCAACAAAGACATACCAACAAAGCAAAGCACAGATGACCATCACAGACACCAAATGCAGAATGTGCCATATGGCTACAGAATCAACAACACATGTACT